CACCTCGCGGGGGTCCGGAGGGGCGTGGGGGTGGCAACCCCACCAACCTCTGCGCCGCCCAGGACGGCCTGACACTAACATCTATCTATCTATATCTCTTATTAAATAAACACACTTGTCCGCATTTACAGGTAGAGAGGGTTTATGAGCCACTCTGAGGAAGGTTGGTGGGCGACCTGTGCGTCCCGGCACACAGCATCATCACCAAACATATAAGACCCCAGCCTGGCGTGTGGGAGGGGGGGGAAAAGTTTAGTCCTCAGCTATGCTCACTATATATGGCCAATATTATCTTCTCTTCTAAATGTTTGGAATTTGACTTATTTTATAATGCTTTAACTGAGAAGTTCAGCATTTTTAATTTCTTCATATTCTTAAGCCTCTCAAGTAGAGGAAAAATTCAAATTGTAAGTATTCTAGTAAATAAATGTACTAGTTTTTCAAACCTTGTCTAGAAAGCTCTATTATCTTGTCACTTAATTGTATTGACTCGTTTGAGTTGGCCAAACCTCTTGAGGGCGTCAGGGCAAGGAAAACCTGTTGAACCAAGCAGACCAAAGTTAGGTCAGGAGAATGTTTAGCTTTCGTGCTATAAAATACAGCCTAAATAATATCGTAGGTAATTTACCATACGATACAAGATTAACGACCTGAAGCATTGATCACTTTACGCAAGACATTGATTACCTGTATCTGGAGGGTGACGTCATAACCCTCATGCAGAGGGGGGGGGGGTGATCATAATGAATCAGATTCATACTCATATATGCAGGCGATGAGTCACAATAACGTGGCTGAAGTATGTTGACCAGACCACACACTAGAAGTTGAAGGGACGACGACGTTTCGGTCCGTCCTGGACCATTCTCAAGTCGATGAGAATGGTCCACACTTCAACTTCTAGTGTGTGGTCTGGTCAACATACTCATATATATAATTTGTCAATTTATGTATTAAAGTTAATTAATTCGGCTAGCCAAAATTATGAAGGGGCTACTAAGCTGCTGCCATCTCGCAGGAAGGTCAGTTGCCCAGATGTATGTCATCAAGTTAATTATTAATATCAGGCTAGGAATGGATTAAGAGTCCTTTTTCTTATGTTAACTTGTCTAGTTACAATATACAGCTTCCCCTCTACCAATTGAAAGATTACACAAGACAGTCAGTCACACAGGGCCATGTGGCCAGCAGCCTGCACTGACCAGCTCTGAGTGCATTATGAGGACATCATCAAGTACACAAAAGTGAAAACAAAAATCATTGCAAAGCTGCAGGTACCTCATACCGCAGGTCTTGAAGGGTGTAATGATTGGACATTCAGTAGTGTAGTGGGAGATCATGACCCCCAGTTACTGCTCAGAGTTTACAACTGGAGTGCTCAGTAATGGGTCACCCATCACCCGTAGTCACCTACCACAGGTAACTGTCACCCAGGCTGATCCTGGCACCCACTGTGTCGTACTCTGTGGTGGTGGTGGACGTTTTGTGCTGCCCTTTTATATAGATATCAGATCTAAACAAAGTATGGCTTTTTACATTAGTGCTTTTAGGCCTTTTAAAGAGTTTAGTAGTAGTAGTAGTAGTGGAGCTAGCTCAGTTTCTGGAGAGTTCAGTAATTGATTTAACCTGACACTGACAGTCTGTGTGCAAGTATAATTTCTATACACATATAAGCTGCTGCAATTGGTCTTATTGACGATAGGACTGAGCCATCGGTGTCGACATCATTCTCGCGAGACCTAAAGTTTTAATATAGAGGAGGCAGCGGTTTAAAGTGTGACTGCCGTGTACAAGAACACAATGGAAACCAATTCCCGGGGAAAAGTGTGTGATACTTGGATGGTGGAGTTCGGGTAAATAGGGTCATCAATGACAGATTACATTTACATTGTATGTTCAGTGTGATGACATGGTTGACGTTTGTACTCGACCATTTATCATACAAGGGGTGAACTGGTGTGTTACCACCAATTACTGGTGAAAATAGGGAGATTTTTTAGTAATTCGTCTGACTTTCTGCAGGTGACCTGACCTAGACTGTATGAAGGGATGGGTGGGGGTTACACAGTGTCAAGAGCTATAGCTCCGGGGGTTGTTTTAGTGTCACATCTCGAGGGATGGTTTGGTCATAATGGGCCAAGGGATCAGTAGCCTGCACTGGCACATTTTGGGTCCAATATGTGAGGATTTCCTCATGAACACGAGAGTGAATAAAGTAATTGCAAAGCTCCAGGTACCTCATGCCAACGGGTCTGAATGGTCTAATAACTGAGTATTCGGTGATGTAGTGTGAGAGATCATGTCGCAGTTCCTGCTCAGAGTTTGCACCTGGATTTTTTTTTATTAACACATTAGGTACATCTGCATTAGTGCAGCTACCCTAGACTATATGAAGTGGAGTACAGTGTGTCAAAAAAGCTAACTAGGTGATGCTAAAAAATCCCCATCTCGCAGGATGGTTAGTCATACAGAGGCATGTGATGGGCAGTCTGCACTTGCAGACTCCGGATGCATTTTGAGGATATCAACAACACAAGATTGAATAAGGTAGCAGTGGTAATACAAGTCCCCATCACTGGAGAGTTGTGAAGAAAGTCTACGTTGACATTCAGCCTTATTTTACTTGACGGGTACAAAAAGAACACATTCAGCAATGTTTTACTTGGTGATGATCGTACCCTCAGTCCTATTTCATGAGTGTGACGTACATTCAGAATAGATTTGAATAATATTCATTATATCATGAATATAATTCATAAGGGAACATGACTGCAAACCTTTTCGATTTGTACATGCAGTGTTCATTAAATGATCACTTGATAAGCAGAACAATGTTATCGCTGCTCACACCACCAGCACAACCTGGCTAATCTAACATTGACCACCTAAACCTATGACTTAATTTGTTTTAAACTCTCGAATTAAGTCATTTTCCTTGCATTTGGTGGTAGAAATAAGAGGCGTTTGACCTGTGAAGGCAGTGTGTTATCTAAATGCTGCAGCTACGGGCCTCGTCTCTTCACTGGCCTCATCCTGCACTCCCAGCTGCATTCATCACTCGCTGAAGTTATTCTAATGAATGTGGCTGAAGTATGTTGGCTGTGGTGGATATGTGGGCCTGCGGGCCACTCCGAGCAACAGCTTGGTGGACCAAACTCTCACAAGTCAAGTCTGGCCACGGGCCGGGCTTGGGGAGTAAAAGAACTCCCAGAGCCCCATCAACCAGGTATGTTGACCAGACCACACACTAGAAGGTGAAGGGACGACAACGTTTCGGTCCGTCATGGACCATTCTCACAATCGACTTGAGAATGGTCCAGGACGGACCGAAACGTCGTCGTCCCTTTAGCTTCTAGTGTGTGGTCTGGTCAACTAACGAGGTAATTTCGTGTGTATAACAATAACCTCTTGTATGCTAGAGTCAAGCCAGAGGAGTGCTTCTAAGGCGGTCCCTGCTCCTAAGATGCTTAGTTAGCTCTTATGCAGGGATTTACACCCCACAGTAATACTAAAAAATAGAGGATCACATAAGAGGTTAGTTAGTAGATGCAAAGTGTTTATTTTATAACGCTAGTAATTACGCCCGGTGCTTTACGCATAACATAATGAGTATATTAAGTTTGATATTTTTTGGGGGGCAATACGGTGTTGGCTAACACCATACACAGTGTGTGTGCATCTGTGTGTAATTGTATATATAATATAAAACATGTATATATTTATAATTAAAGAAATTTTACAAATGACGCACAGTTTTCTAAATGGAAAATAATTAATTTCTAAATAATTAAAGAAATTTTACAAATGATGCACAGTTTTCTAAATGGATGCTTAATGCTAAAAGGTATACTTATTTTTTCTTTATAAATTTAGTGGTAACTAACAACAGTATATTTACAGGGTTTAATATTCACAATAACAGCAAACACAAATTATCTGAATTAAGATGGAGAAATTAGATTTCAGCTGCTCTGGCTAGACAGATATAATGGTAACGCCTACATGATGTTAATGAGCTGCTTCTTTGTTTCTCTTTCAAATCAATTAAAATGTGTAGCATTTTATTTGATTTGCGAGGTCATTTCCCAATTCAGAACCCTTTATATGCATGATAATTCTGCTCTGGGAGAGTCGGGCTCTTGGAATATCATATAAATATTTGTTGCTCGTGGTTTTGTGTACAGTTATCCTGCCTGCCTCAACAACTTTATTAAGTCCATAAAGTAAAGTCATGGGGGCTGCAATATATTAATATTGTGATCATTAGCACAAACGGCATTGCCCGGGTCAATGTGATTGGTACACATTCCCCCCGGGTTGAGGCTTGACTGTTGACACGTCATTGTGAAGACTAATAATAAACAGAAGCTACCCTATGACTATCTCCATTGGTCAGACTATTATGTATTAGCGATAAGACCTACCATTAATGTATAATGACTTACTGTAAATGTATAGCTCTTGAAATAGCACTTTCTCTGTAACTAGCTGACATTGTAACTATAAGGTGTGAAGGATAGATGAAGTTGTTTATGTAATAATCTAAGATGAGGTCTGATAAAGACCTTTTGTGCCCTGTAATGCTTTTTGCGCTACCGCTCACAGGATGGGTATGGGGTGCACAATAAACTAGCCGCCTCCGGCGGCAACAATCAAAAACAATCAATTGTTGACACGTCCATCATCACCCCCACACGAGCCTTCAACTCTGGGGGAACTGGACTATCTCGCACCTAAATATTATGAGGGGGAAACTTATTAACCTATCGAGGTCATAGGGATGAATAGTACCATCAAGAGAGGTTCGGAAGAATTCCGCTCAACGCTTAAATACATTTAGCGAAAATACCCAAGATTGTCGATGTGTTATACTATGTGTATTCGCCTAATTGTGCTTGCAGGGGTTGAGCTTTGGCTCTTTGGTCCCACCTCTCAACTGTCTATCAACTGTGTGTTGTTCTGAGTGTGTGTATTTCTTGCTATGACTGGCATTTCCTCAGGCTATGACTGGACGCTGCTGCCCATGACGCAGAAGTCGTCTCTGAAGCACCGGGCCCACATCAAGCGGCCCATGAACGCCTTCATGGTGTGGGCGCAGGCAGCCCGCCGCAAGCTCGCTGATCAGTACCCGCAGCTGCACAACGCTGAGCTCTCTAAGACCCTTGGCAAGGTCTGGAGGTAGGTCATGGTGGTGGTGGTGGTGGTTGTCAGCCATTAGTATACTATAAGTGATCTAATGTACTGTAAGTCGTATGAAGTGGCGAGGTGATTTTGTCCGTCATTTTGAGAAAAGCGGCACTTGTGCTCTTTTGTGGGAATGGATAGATGAGAGGAGAGGGTAGTAGGGGACAGGAAGGCTGGGTGACTGTGAGAGAGGGAAGTAATCTATAGTGATAGTGGCGAGTGATGGGGTATGGATATAACTGGCGCCATGGACGGACGACGGTGACGAGCACGAGTTTGTAGCTGTAGTTGAAACGTCGACTCGTCCGTTAAAATGATCACATATGTTTATATTTAGTATTCCTGGTGCCTTCGTGTTCAACACCGTTCATCAAAATAACACTCGGGACCTCTCATTTTACGGGAGTCCCTGAAGGAATCACGTACCTATCTGTCAGATGCCATGTGCAGAATCCAGCTGACATTGTCGTCTTTTGTTCCTCCAAATCAAATGGAGGTGGAGCGACAGCCTCGCTTCATGCAGGTCGGCGTTCAATCCCCGACCCTCCAAGTGGTTGGACACCATTCCTTTCCCCCGTCCCATCCCAAATGCTTACCCTGATCCCATTCAAGTGCTATGGTCATAACGGCTTGGCGCTGTCTCCTGATAGTTTCCTCCTCCAAATTCTCCCAGCCTTAATGGTGTCCCAGTCGCTTTATATCAGTGTCCATGCCACCATAAACCTCATTTTCCTTCTTTAATTACTTAGATTTGCTTCCTTCAAGATTCTCCGTAGGGCACAACCTACCTTGACCTTACCTTGACCTTCTCACAGAGTCTTGAGTGACGAAGAGAAGTTGCCCTTCATTGAGGAAGCAGAACGTCTACGGTCTCAGCACAAGAAAGATCATCCTGATTATAAGGCAAGTCTTTCCTAAACCTCAAAAGTATGTTTACAAATTTTCTCACCGCCCATGTAAGGTAAAATGACCAAGTACTCCAATATCTGTACTAAAAACACAAAGTTTTACACTTTGAATAAAGTAATTAATATTTTCTTTGGATCCTCCTCTCTACCCTGACTCAGTCCTGGCCTTTTAAAGAGGTGCTTAGGCATAATTATGCCACTTGGCATAATTTACAAAATATCTCATGTATGCTCGTTGGGTAAGAGAGGCGCTCGGTAAGCGTGGCGTGAAAAGTTACTAAATATGACGAAGCTTTAATCATGTTAATCATGTTAATCATGTATCATGCAGCTGAAGCCTTGCACATATGGAGTGTCCGGTAAAGCTAGATCATACATTACTAGGCTCAGGCTTGGCCACGGACCTTTTGGAGCTTGCATCTCATCCTGGTCCAAGTAGATCTGACCAAATGTACACTTTGTGTAATTGTTCATATGCATTACGTCATGATGTATATGAATGTACAAAAATCAGAATTCGTAGACGACTCTTAACGCCACTGTACACGAGATGTTAAGTGTAATTTATTCGGGATGACATGGTGCCTAAAACCTTTGTCAAGTAACTCAAGTGTGCGTATTGCCTGCCAGTATCTTCCATACTGTTCTTATGACCATGTACCGTAACGTTAGCTACAGTAATTCATTTATATCATCACTATTGAAACTTTATTTACAGATCTGAGGAAAATATATAAGCTGTAACATCACAAACGTAAATATAATTTTGGGGTAGAGTTACCGAGCCCATTACATGCCTCCTGTAACCTTTTCCACCACCACCACTCACAGGAGGAGTATGACGAGTATAATACATGAACCAGAAGTGTAGTCACTGGAGATGTTGTTTAAGATTCGCTACTCAGAACAATAAGTTCCAGTAGCACGGGCTATGGTGAGCCCGTATGTCACTGGAGAAGTTTGTGGTACAGATATAGGAGTGACTCGCCAGTGCCCTGTGTAGTGCCAAGTATAAAGGCACCCAGGAGTTACTGTTGTGGACTGCATCCTGGGCAAGGTACTGTCGGTGGCCTAGGAGGGGAACCTCAATAAATTCAGTAGACTTCCTGTCCTCTTTAACGGGAAAGCAAACCAGTTAGTCTCCGTGGTGTAATGGTAAGACACTCACCTGGCGTTCCGCGAGAGCTTTGTCCTGGGTTCGTATCCTGGCCGGGGAGGATTTACTGGGCGCAAATCCTTAACTGTAGCCTCTGTTTAACCCAACAGTAAAATGGGTACTTGATTGTAAAAACTATTCTTCGTGGGGGTCGTATTCCAGGGACCATAGGATTAAGAACTTGCCCGAATCGCTACGCGTACTAGTGGTTGTACAAGAATGTAACAACTCTTGTGTATATCTAAAAAAAAAGCAAGCCTCAGCCGTCGGGTTAACCACCTTATTTCTACCACAGTACCAGCCACGTCGCCGCAAGCCTCCGAAGAGCCTGTCAAGCCTCATGGACACGGACCCAGGGGCGCCGCCTCTACCCTACCGCGTCCAGGGGTGAGTCTGTCACAGAGGCCCCTCGCGGCCTTACCTCCTCTTTGTTAACCTTTTTGATTTTGTCCACTTTGTCATTGCTTCTTAAGAATCTTGGGCCAGATTCACGAAGCAGTTACACAAGTACTTACGAACGTGTACATCTTTCCTCAATGTTTGAAGGCTTTTGTTACATTTATTAAACAGTTTACAAACATGAAAAACTTCCCAATCAACTGTTGTTATTGTTATAAACAGCCTCCTGGTGCTTCGGAGCTCATTAACTGTTTAATTATTGTAAACAAACCCACCAAAGATTGAGAAAAGTTGTATAGGTTCGTAAGTGCTTGCGTAACTGCTTCGTGAATCTGGCCCCTTGTGTTGTAATCATCTTGCCTCTTTCCCTTTTATTTTCCAGCATGGTAAGGCCCAGGTCTTTTCTCGTAGTTAACTCCTCTTAACTTTAAGGGCAGTCTTGTGGCAAACTCCAGGACCTTAGTGTTAGTTTGTGCTTTATTCGAGGAAATTCCAGTGGGGGCTACGTGCTCAGTACTAGTCTAACATAGGTAGTGTACAAAGTCTGCGTTCGTGCATGTTCGCGCTCGTCTAAAATTATGCTTTAGAAACATAGAGGCTCTCCTTAAGTCCCTCCTTAAGGCCTGCCTACTTTCCTCCCTGCCTACTGCCATTCTTGTGACTGTCGAGTTTAAATTTTAACTTTACTGCCTTTTCTTGCTACTTTTAACTTCCGCGTGGCCATGTTTGTTTAGCGGTTAAAAGAAAACGGGGGAACTAAACATTTAGCATTAGCCTGGAAATAGCAGGACAGTGGATGTAAATATTCGTCATGGCACTTGTCAAATTCATCGTAGCTCTGGAAATCATGTCACGGTTTTATGCACGTCTTTGAAATTAAAGTTATATTATCCCCTGCACCCCATACCCATCTTGTGGGCGGTAGTGGAAAGGGTTACAGATGTGCCTCTGTAACCCTTTCCTCTACCGCCCACAAGATGGGTATGAGGTGCATAATAAATTAACTAAACTAAAACCTTGCCAGAGGACTGATGGGAGGGGGTGGAGGGTACTGTCCTGGCGTGGGGATGAGCATGGCTCTCCCACCCTCCCACGCCCACGCTGCCCCGCCCACGCCGCCCAAGACTCCCCAGCACCAACACAACATAAGGTAAGAATTTGTCTTAGAGTTTTTCTTATGTCATCTGCCCGAGGATCTAAAAACAGTATTTGCATTGGTATGTATCATCGTATTGAAGAATAGGTTGGGGTCTTGGTTATTTGGTTGGTTTTAGGCCTTATAGGCATAATGCAGGAAGCTGTGTGTGTGTGTGTGTGTGTGTGTGTGTGTGTGTGTGTGTGTATGTGCCAGATACACACACACCTTCATGTGTGCATGCATGCACGCATGTGCGCTCATCTGGAATTTGGGCCCTAGGGTCACATTCTAGATGCACAAGCATACCTAGGCCCATCGGCAAGTGCTTGCTGGGCCAGCGTTTGTCCATAAGCTCTGCCTTTCGACCTATAATAATTATTTTCAGTATTTTTTTCCATTATATTAGTTTAGTTCATTTATTATGCACCCCATATCCAACTTGTGGGCGGTAGTGGAAAGGGTTACAGAGACACATAATGGGCTCAGGGACTGAACCCCACAATTCATTTAGCAAAGCAAAGTTACAATCTTGATGAGCTAGTTACAAAATTCAGTATAAATCGTCACATCAACAATGGGTTCGAGATCGACCACAAGTATAGTTTCTAAATTAAGCAACTGACATATGTGGAGAGCTAGTGTCAAAATTGATATGTTTGTCCTGCACACCGCCCCCCATCCAGTGGGCAGCGGTGGATAGGTTACAATCACTTAGTTACTACCTACAGTTAGCAAACTGGGGATATTTGGCTAAAATTTCTGGTAGTAGATCATTTTGAATGAAATATATACACATCGTTGGAACATTGGTTATAGATTGATGAATCTGCACTGAATTTTCTTTAAACAGTTTTAATGCAATCCATTTATTTATAACCCAGCGGCCCGGCCCTTAAACGGGATAAATTTCTTCAGATATGTGACTCGGTTGTCCCCAGTATCCATTAATATTATTCTTGTAGCACAGTGGTCTACGTCCTCGGTTATCAACTGAAGGACCCCGGCTCAATCCCTGGGCAGGATAGAAATTGTTGGGGAAGTTTTTTTTTTTCACCTGATTTTTATGTTCACCTAGCAGTAAATAGGTACCCCCGGAGTTAGGCAACTGTTGTGGGCTACATCCTGAGGAAGGTCAGTAATTGGCCTAGATGTTGGAGGGACCTCAATAACTCTTAAGACAAGACTTCCTGTTTCCAATAGGGGTGAACTTTCTCTGTCAGTTCGCCCATTAAATATTTTGTCTATCGTGTCTGCCTGTCTGTTCCTTTTGTTTTCAGTGTATCTTAATAGCCAGGACCACTTACCTCTGAAACGAGCCTTGTAGCATATTATTATTATTATTATTATTATTATTATTATTATTATTATTATTATTATTATTATATATTTTTTTTCCATACTTTAGGTGGGAAAACATTCCCAACAGTAGGTCTTACAAAGGTTGCATACTGTATAACATTTGGAAGGCTCCTTTGTCAAAGTTACTGAAGGATATTCGGATACCGGTCACTTTGGCATGTGCTACGGATGTTATTCTACTGTGATGTGCCTGTGATATTGTATTTGGAATAATGTTTACTCTAAAGTCTTTCGCCTTTTCTGAAGTGGGAAGCTTCAGAAAAGCTCACTCCTATTCTCATCATAATAACTGAGATTGACTGTTCGTGCATTTACAAATGTTCAGCATGAAGTACTATGTAGTTGTGTCCTGGTGACTGACAGGGTCGGGTTCAAGTTAAGTATGTTTATTGAAATAAGAAAGAAATAAATCTCAAAGGGATAGAGTAGTTTAGGCTATTTTTACCCCCTTAGGGTCGGGTCATCTGGTGGTGGTGGAGGCGGGATGGGTGAGCCGGTGGGCAGGAGTGACTGCAGCTTCGGCAAGAGCAGCTCCGTCGCCTCTGTCTACTCCAGGGACCACCACAACGCCCATGTCCACTTCTCCAGCCTCGACGCCACCAAGGCACAGCTCTTCAGGTAAATGGGTATAAACTTAATGGTATTCATCTTGGGTTTTCCCTCTGTACTGGTCTCCATTCTACAACCAAATCACCTTGTGCTCTTGGCACCAACTGCAAAGTCTCTAGTAACTCTTCTTCTCATGGATGAAAGTTATCTATTTGTATACAGAATACCTATTTGATATAGGTATTAAAGTACCCAATATAGGTATAGGTTCCACGAGGCAGTTCCCGTGGCGCAGTGGTAAGACAGTCTCCTGGCGTTTCGCGAGCGCTTTAGCTTGGGTTTGTATCCTGGCTGGGGAGGATTGACAGGGCAGCACTCCTTAATAACTGTAGCTGCTGTTCACCCAGTAGTGAATGGATACCTGGTTGTTAAACAATTTGGCGGGGTCGTATTCAGGAGGAAAATTAGGACTAGGGACCTGCCCGAAACGCTACGAGTGCTATAGTGGCTTTACATGAATGTAATGTAAATGTATATCACAGCTAGGTTACCTGATGGCCGTCATCTCCATGGGCCTCGAGGAGGGCGAGCATAACTGGCCAATTACAGCAGAGTGACATCTATAAATTTATATTCTACTCTTTCCAACTCTGGCTATAAAAGCTCAAATCTCAAATCTTAAATTACTGTATTTGATACAGAGCTTCCTCGTACCGCCTCTGTTTACTTAGCTGTCAATAGGTAACTGTTTTGGGTTGCATCCTTGGGAAGATCATTTGATGGCTTAAGGGGGATATCAGTGAATCTATCAAGCTCCCTATCCCTGACATGAGAAACCATTATCTTAGACTTTAGACTATGAAATACAGTACTGTAGTAGAAACCAAAAAAGTGCCATTAAATGAGAATTCTTGGATAAATTTAATGAAAGAGAGTACAGTACAAACTGAAACTATCACTCAATTTCTGTCACAATGAAATGTAAAACAAAATGCTTGTATGAAGTAAAGTAACAAAATCGATAGAATGACAGATGTTGATAGCTCAACCATGACTTGGATCTCTGGCAGTACAGCTTCCATGGGGATCTTATATAATGTACAGTATGTAATAAACTGTATGTAAAGTATGGCAGGATTACAAACTACAGTACTGCATTACATCTCATTCTTCGAAAGTAGTATGAAATGGTCAAATCTACACTACACCAGTCTCCGTGGTGTAGTGGTAAGGCACTCGCCTGGTGTTCCGCGAGCGCTTTGTCATGGGTTCGTATCCTGGCCGGGGAGGATTTACTGGGCGCAAATCCTTAACTGTAGCCTCTGTTTAACTCAAGAATAAAATGGTTACTTGGTTGTAAAAACGATTCTTCGCGGCGGGGATCGTATTCCAGGGACCTGCCCGAAACGCTACGCGTACTAGTGGCTGTACAAGAATGTAACAACTCTTGTATATATCTAAAAAAAAAAAAAATTATTGCTATTGGTAAAATATCTTAAATTTACCAGAGGGTCACTATATCTCTAGTGGCTTCAACACGGAAAGGAAGCCGATGGCTTGTCAAAGGTCCCTTACCTCATTGTTCCTAAAGATATTTTTTTTCCAACTGGATTTTGAACCGAAGTACAGTACAGTACTGTAATTGACATTTAGCCATTTGCAGGTAGGTAATTCCATGGGTTTATACAGTATAACCATTTGGGTGAAAAGACATCTGTTTTCTGTCCTATATTGTCATCTGTTTTCTGTCCTATATTGTAGTGTGTTGAGCTTGCAGCTGTTGCCTCTGTTACATTTGATGTTATGTAGCACTGGTCTGGGTAAACATCCTCCAACTTGTTCAGTATTTTGAGTCTCGATGAGATCTGTCATATCTAGTTTGCAATGTTAAATCCTGTGGTCCTCATGTGTTCCTGGTAAGAGAGTTGACTTAGTTCAACGCAGTTTTGTCACTTTCTCCAGAGCAGATATGCCCTTTTTAATGCGAGTCCTCCATGCTTTGGTACAATAGTTGAGATGGGGGTGCACCAGGGATCTACCAGAATTTGACTGAATTTACCCAAGAGCCATCATCTGTAGTAGCCTCGACAGGAACACAAAGCCAGTGGCTTGTCAAAGGTCTTCCCCCTCCACCCATTGTTCCTGAATAAACACATTTTTGTTTCCTTGATATTAAAGGTTCTTTTGGAAATCCTCAAGATTTAGTTGGCTTTTCTTCTAGTACTGCTCCCACTTGTTTTGCAACCTTCAGAGACTGGTGGATTCTGTTTCTTAGGTCCTTTTAAAAAAAACTTTGATTTGATCTCTTCAAATCAGGTTTCTTCATCAATCTGCTGCACATGGTAGTATTGTTGATATGAAATGGTTGCACTGGGTGAAAGTTTGAGTCTAGTACATAAAGGAAAATGTGATTAAAGAATAGCTGCATAGCCAAAAGTTATACAATAACACTTAACCTAAACACTTAGATTATACAATAACCCTGTAATATCCAAGTTGAGAATTTTCAACTACTGTACAGTACTTTGTTACCACAGTGACTTAGCTCCAATATGTTAGATCATATTGCCTTGCATAGCAGTTACAGTTTAAGCAGTGTTATGTTACTTGCTATCATTATAAATAAGGGTCTCATTGTACAGTTCGCTTCATTCTAAGATTCACAATCGGAGAATCCCGGCTTCAGTTCACGGTTGGGACAGAAATTGTTGCACACGTTTTCTTGCACCTAATGCCTCTGTTAACCTAACAGTAAATAGGTACCAAGGAGGTGGGCAACTGTTGTGGGGGTTGCATCCTGAGAAGGATCTGTAGTTCGACCTTGGTGAGGAACGAGGAGGGGGGGGGGGCTCCTCGATACAACCCTAAAGCATGTACAGTATATGTATGTATAAATGTACAGTATAAAGTATATATATTTTTATATACGGTATATAAATATACTGTACACAGACAAATTGTAAAATAAATGTCAAACCACATCCACTTGGGGTCCAAGACTTTTGTTCCCTCGGTAATCCTTTAATGTAATCCCTCAAAAAGAGTACAGTATTAGGTTCAAAATGAACTAGCTGCTGCTGGCATCATCTATCAAACTAAAATGATCTTGTAAGACTAACCATATGACCTTATTTGGGGTCCTGGTAGTACAGTTGGGTTTGTTCTTGACACACAGTCAAGAATTCCGGGTTCAAATCCTGGGCGGGGCAGAAATAGTTGGGCGCATTTCCTATAGCCTTATGCACCTGTTCACCTAGCAGTCACTAGATGTCAAGGAGTTAGCTTGTGGGGTTGCATCCTAGGGGGAGGGAGAGTGGGACCTTAGTATCAGCTTAGTGTGTATACATACTGTGCACTCTGGCTGCCTGTGCCCCGACACATTGAATTACTGTAGTATTAATTATGATTAACCATCCTACAAGATAGGGATCTTGGTATTTGCACAGCTGCTGGGAATTTGCAATAATTCCTCAGTGTATCTACACTTACAGTAATATTTAAAAAAAAAATGATGATTAAGACTAAGCAATGTATCACATGGCATGAATGTTAATATGAACCTCGCCTCCTCCAGTCAGGCTGGGAACAGCAGTAGCGTGGGAGGTAGCAGTAGCAGCAGTCAGTACATGAGTGACTCTAGCAGCCCGGGTGCCAGGATGGAGGCAGCCATGGCCCTCCAGGCAGCAAGGAACAACTTCTCACCACCGTCTTCCTCTGCTCCCTCATTTTCCCCTCCGAACTCATCTCCGGGGTCCTCGTCGTCATCTACCTCTTCTGCAGCCTTCTTCAGGGATGATACGACGGCAAACATGGCAGCCAATCTCATGCGACCAGCATTCGGACAAGAACTTTTTCAGGTGTTCTATATGTTTTGTTTTAGTTACTCATTATGAAGGCATGAAGCTAGCAGTGAATGATTGCTGTTTACTGTCACTTTTTGGGGCACGTTTGCCACTTGTCATGCACCTCACAGCATTGCAGCCCGCCCTTCCCTACTAGCTATCTATCATCCATCTTAAGTTTTACCAACTATTGCAATTTTAATTCAACATTTGAATTCTGTACTCTATTCATCCTTCTAACACCGTAAATATATCTCAAATTTAACATTTGTACTTCTCCAAGCCTCGTTTTCTCATGTTAATGTCACTTGATCCAGATATAAGAGTAGGCAATACCACTATTTCCTTCATACAACCATCTGGTTGCATCTCATCCTGTCTTATTCTTAATAACCAGATCTTTTAATTGTGTTAAAAACAATGTGTTAAAAACACATTGTGTTTTTAACACAACACAAAATGTGTTTTTAACACATTTAACTGTGTTAAAAACAATATTAAATCCCTTATATTGGTATTTTGTTTATGTCTACTTTTCTTAATTTGTTTTATCCATTTGCAGGGCCACATGTTCGCAGGTTCGGCACATGCCCAGGGAGCCATGAACCTGCAGGGAGCTCAGTCCTTCTACCACTATGGGGCTCAGGGGCTCCACCCATACTACATGACTCCAAGATAACCTTACACGACCCCAGGGTAAACTTTCGTGGCTCCAACATATCTTAAATGCATCCACAAGACAGTCTCCAAAAAGTCTCCATGATGACTTGATGGTCACATAGTGAAGGTGATCTGGACTCAAGATGGGCAGGTAATGTCCCAAATTTAACCCAAGTTGACCTTGGGTAACTTGAGTGTCAATACAACACCATAATGGCCTCAAAAAGAGTCACGGTGTCAAACTATCATTGCAACACCACAGAATCATCTATCATCATCATTGGAAGGTATTTGAATACCTTTTTATAATTACTGTATATACCCATGGGTGTCTTACCTGGTTTTGCTAAGCAATTGAATATTAGAATGTTAATGTAGTTTTTATCCTGTTTCCAGAAGCCTTTTATTTGTAGAATTATGACAGATATTATCTGGAACTTAATTTTAGGTACATTTTTACCAGAGAGCTTGTCAATTTTTCAATGATTTCCTTTAGGAAGAGGAGTTGTGTCGATTATTTTATATATAAATTCTCTGGCAAGAACAGGTCAGTGATATGGAAAAGGTACACAAGAGTCAGGTACACAACAGTGTGTGTACTGCTACACAGATACATATCTTTACACAGTGTTATAGATATGTATCTGTTCACAAAGTTTCACAGAGGTCCTTAGCTCTGCTTCTTGATGGTACATAGAAAGTGGTCTAGGACTGTATACAGAACCTTATTTTTACTATGGAAAGCATGTCCAGAATACAGAATTCTGATGTGATCAAATCAAAATAAAATGCTGGGGAACCCAAACTGAGACTCTTCTCATTTAATGATATAAATTTTTATGAAGACTAATTGGGAAAAGATATTTAATGACATGGAAACAATTACTGTAGTACTGTATCTAGAAATCAATTGCTAAATATGTTGCTATTGTAGTACAAGTAGGTTGACTAGTATTGGTGGCCCATGAAACACTACCCCCCCCCCTTCTCTATTATACAAACTACATTCTTACTAGAGCACCACTAATAAGGTCAGGTCTGCCACACACGCGTACACTGCATATCGTTAAATGCAGAGCAACAGTCGAACCTAGCTCCACCGATGACACAACTTCTAATCACCATAACAAAAAATTAATAATTTTTTCTTTGCTACATTGTTTTTTACGAATGATGTCTTTATTGCATACATAGCTTCTTGGTTTTCATTTAGGATTGTGGTTAGTTATGTAAAACTAAATGTTAATAAGGCATTGGCATTAATTTTTACATGTTTAATAAAAAATATAATTTAGTTATGAAATACATAATTTTATTTAAACTGAAAATAGTTATACTGCTATACATTTACTATTGCACCTCCACCGTGCTCTGGGAAGAGCACATACATAATGGTCTAGTACGTGGCCAGGCCAGAGAACCCTCGGCCAGGCATGTAATATTGACAAAAAATAGATGAGGAATTAGGTATGGGAATAGCTTAGTCATTCAATGGAAGTTTAAATTGGTTTAATTATCTGAAGCAAATAAAACTGTGAAATTGA